CATAAACACAACAGCTTTAGCACATCACGGTATAAGATTACAGCATAAAGCCAACTTCAATAAACCACAGATATCAGGCACAGAACAAAAAAACACGAATAGGAAATTACTTGAAGCAATACACATCACAAAAAACAATAGAACAACAGTAAATTATAATATTCATAATTGGTAATTGGTTGACTGTCGTGGATAATAAAGAGAAGAATAGTTGGGGTGTTCAGTCAAAAACAAAGGCAAAAATAAATGATAATATTTATTTTTTACATATGCCGACGTTTCGACCTGAAGTTCAGGCCTTCATCAGGGCTGTCTCCTTAAGTGTTGCAGGGAGAATCGTAAATTATAATAGAGACACTAAACATTTAGGAACTCATTATACGGACATATTAAACAAAATTAAAATTTAATAGTAATGAAATAGCAGATACATAAAATAAACATTAACAACTATAGTATAAAAATAAACAGTCATATCCAAAGATCAATTGTATTCACCATGGCAGACACCAAATAATTAATCTAAAAGCAAGATGTTGCTCTGGATGTTATATACCTAGATTTATTATAACATGAATTAGAAATTGACGATGTAGCGCATTAGTTTTAAAATAATTACAAATTTATTGTAACAACAAAATTCTGACATGCATTGTAACATGCACTATATTTTAACTCAAACATTTTTTTAGCCTTGTATCCATAAGATAATTGGCATTGTGGTTCTGAAGATGGGAGTAAATATCCCGGAACGTAAACTTGTAAACATACAATTTTGATAATACAACAAATATATTCAATTGTTGCTAATTGGAAGTAATCATTGCCAAATAACTAAGAATATCATACAACTTCTCAGAAAAAAGAAGAATTAAAACATTTTGTATTTTACAAATATTTGTATTAATTTTTTACACGTCTACTTAAAGACTCCTTATCTTCCTCTCCCCTCCCTACCTCCAACGGCTGTTATATTTGAGATGAATGGATGGAGTTGAGGGTAGATTATAGGGGCTGACAATACAACAGCAACACGACCAAGGAGCAGTACAGTATTCAACAGGTGAGGGTATACAACAGTACAATATACAACAGGTGAGGGTATACAACAGTATAGTATAGTATACTTCAGGAGTCTGATCTTAACCAGTCATACCACTTGCCATCGTGACCTAGATACCAGAGCCCTCTCCAATGTCAGTCCTATTTCTCTTTTCAATATTCACTGTCTTAATGGCTCAGGAGCCGATCTAGGATTTAATTTTTTGGGATTTCAGCACGAAAGCTATTTATATATATATATATATATATCCCAAAATTAACGCAAGATTTAAATCTAAATAAATAAAATAAGGATTTTGTCTGTACATTGAATAGAATCAACCCGTTTTATGATATATTTCTGTTTCATACATTGTAGACACCAAATCCTCTTTCTTTTTTTTATTTTCGTCTGTCTGTATGTCCGCATTGCAACAAAATTTTGTCAGGGGTAAGCTCAGCAATGGGTTATTGAGTAGAACCAGAGTTATGAATTCTTGAGTAATTTGTCTTGAGATCTCGGTTAATGTTGATAATAAATGCTAATAATAAACATATGTTTATACGTTAAAGATCATTTATATTAATAAAATAAAGGTTTTGTCTGTACATTGAATAGAATCAACCCGTTTTGTGATGTATTCCCGTTTCATACATTACAGAAACGAAATCCACTTTTTAAACAATTTTTGTCTATCTGGATGTCCGGATTGTCCAACGAAATTTTGTCAGAGTTAAGCTCGGCAATGGCTAATGGTAAACTTTTGAAATGTTGACATTATATTTAGATTTGCTTGACTTAAAATATAGGTTTTAAATGGAAACAAAATACTGAATATAATCAATGTTATTAATTCTTGAGTAATTTGTCTAGAAATCTCGGCTAGGCAGTTACTTCCCTTTCGATTCCCAACCTACTCATTCAAAAGTTGTTCCACTAAACTTATGGAAAAAATTATCAAAACTCAACGGGAAAAATCCGGAATACCGAACATCTGTAACACGTTGTCGCATAAAACAGGTAAAACACACTCATTTTTCAACTTTGTGCTTCCGTTCTTTCCGTTCATGTTGTCATTCGATTCAACTTCCCGAGCCTAACAAATGTTTTCGTATACACTTTTAGGATTAACCTAACGGATTAGCCGGAAATCAGGGAAAAAAAACTAACAATTTCACCCTGCCCCCGGCAATATTCAGACTAAGTTCTAATTTTACACAGATGTAGGTGACACTATGTCCAATGTTATTTTGGTTATTTTGCCTGCGATAAACTCAGCAGAGTTTAAAGAAGTGGAGAGACTACAACTCTCTTTGGATTAATTAATATACTCCACAATCTCCTCGCTTCATCATAAATGAAAATTAAACACTAAACAAATTTTAATGGATCGGTGGTGGTCGGTTTAGTTGTGTGGCACCTATACAAATAGCCGAATGACAAAGTTTCTGTTATGACTATTACCAAACCTATTTCAAAACAACCCCCCTCCCCTCTCCCGACTGAATTTTATGAAATTGAATGTGGACCCTCCTCCCCCCATAATACAAAATCCATGTCAAAAAAAGATTCTCAAATTTTAACTATGCACCCGTCAACGATGGGTACATCAGCTAGTGTAAAATAAAAACTTTCTTCTTTTGTTTTTCTTTGTCAATTTAACAGCTGATAGTTTAAGGTTTGTAAAAATGGAGCGTTATACGAGCGAACAGCGTGTTTTCATTGTTGAACAATATTTAAAAATTAATTTTCTAGTCGTATCATTCAATTTCGGTGCCATTTTCTCATAAGTTTTTTATAAAATATTAGGCCAAATGTACACAGTTTTTACATCCTGTATTATTTATTCGACGTTTCTAGGAGCCATTTTCAAGATCCATGCACCGCTTCATAAAATGTCTAAAATCTATAATTGCAATATAATTCGTCTTTTAGTCATTCTTTTATTTCATAGAATGTCGTTTTTTCACTTTCTTAACATCGTCTGCGAAAGAGAAGTGAAAAAACGACATATTGTAATAATAGATTTTAGAAATTTTATGAAGCGGTGCCTGTTTGCAGGATCTTGAAAATGGCTCCTGAAGCCGAAACGTCGAATAAATAATACATGATGTAAAAACTGTGAACATTTGGTGGCCTTTGGCCTAATATTTTATAAAAAAACTTATAATTTAAAAATTAATGATAGTCTTCAGTCCAACTACTCTCTCTTCAATATTGGCACTTGAGCGGCTTGTTTATGGTCAACCATTGTTTTTAACATTAACAATTAATTGAGTTCTACCAATGGCTAGTTTCTCTTCATGTTGTACATGTCATGTTACCAATTTCACATTTACTTATTGTATTTTCTATGTAATACAGTTGTAAATTCCATTAAAATAATAAAAAAAAATTAATAAAAAAACAATTAATTCAGTCCGCTCGAATTTCTCAATCACTCTCTTCACAGTTGATAAACTTAAATCACTATTCCGACAATATTTTGTACGAAATTTTCGAACTGCGACCGCAAAACTTTTATTATTTTAAAAATATTTTTCAATAGTGAAAACACGTTTTAACAGTAGACATCTTAGCTCATATAATGCTTCGTTTTTACTAAACCTGAACTATCAGCTGTTAAATTGATGAAGAATGAGAAAACAAAGGAATAAAGAGCCATATTTTATATTTAATTTAAATCTTGCGTTAATTTGGGGCACCCTTTATATAACGATAATTACTTTAACTTCTTATATTTTATTTCTCAAATATATATATCCCTTTTCCGGCTCTTAGGAGTGATGGATTTTGACTAATGAGGTACCAATAGAAAGGGAATATCACAGAGTGCGCCAATCGTAATTTTGATTCCTAATTTTATAAAGTTCTGCTAAAATTAATGAGATTAATTACTAATCAATAGATTTTTATTATGCGCACTCTTGTGCATCAGAAAATTCTGTATAGAAAGTAATAGAATCATATTTTTCTTTTAGCCACTGTGGGATCTATGAAGGGAAAGTGGGTTGGAGGGGGCTTTCTGGCTGAAGCCCCTCCCCCCCAAAATGGAAAAATAATTTCTTTTTCATCGGCCCATGTTTGTTACTGTGAGTGATCTAAGTTTAATATTTAAAACAATTGCAATAAGTTATATTTTTTAAATTATACTGTATATAAAGTTACTAAATGTAAATATATATTGTGAAAAAAAATATTAAAAAGTTATTCCTAAAAGTATTATTGTTCTTATAATTACCTCTTTTTTTTTTTTTTTTTTTTTTTTTTTTTTTTTTTTTTTTTTTTTTTTTTTTTTTTTTTTTTTTAAATAAGGCTTCAAGAGTCATTTCATGTATGTAGTTAGTTTCTCTTTTTTTCTTCCAGAGTAATTATTGGTATATATATTTTTAAAAAAGCATTTAGGCTAAAGCCCTCCCAAATTAAATTCTGTTTCCGTTACTGCTTTTAGCTAAAAGAGTAATTGATTTTTATCTCTGTAATCTCTAAGCCATTTATTTTTTATTTATTTCACATTTTCTCTAAGAAATATTTTTTTAAATATTTAACATAAATATTTCTGCAAGAAGGGTAAATCATTTTTTTTTTCTTATTTCATTTGCAAAATATTAATTTTGACACTAACTTCTATAAAACTCTAAAAAACATTAAATTCAATACTTATAGTAACAATAATATTATGTTAATGTCTTTATATTATTTTTATTTTAACTTGAGCTTTCAGAAAATACTGATGTAAATTCTTTATGTAATTAAATTCATATCTTACCTTTTTGTCTCTTGAATTTTCTTCATTTAATATCAACCTTCTGTGTTTTAAATAAAAATGTTGTCTATTTAACCCGAAACAAGTTATGTAATATAGTATAAGATAGAGAAAAGTATTGCTTAAATTTGTGCCAAAGGATAAAGTTAAACTAAAAAGTTTTTAAAATATTTCAAAATAAGGATGCTATACCTGGTTGGATTCGAAGTGACTGCTCGATGTCCTGGAAGAGCGAGGTGGAGCCTATGGCCATGGAGAGACAGACCTGGAGAGTGGACAGGCAGAGAGCCAGGTCGAGCCCTAAAGACTGCGGGAGGGATTGCAAGGTGTTGTAGCCGACGCTGTCTCCAAGCCGCAGGTAGCACAGCAGGCAAGTGATAAGGCAGATACTCCCGCTCACTGCAACGTAAATAGCAATTTCATTATTTTATCTTGTTCTTTTCTTGAGACTCATTAATGTTTGTCACTTAAATAAGATATTTTAGACAGGAGAGTTCTGGACTGGTTGGGTTGGGTTAATATTGTGTATTGTTTAATTAATTTGAACATTTTCTTAAACGGTAGTAAGAATATTGAATTTACATACTTATAAAAGCTAGTATAATAGCTTTGCTAATATCCCTTTTGTTCTTCATATCCATTTGAACAGACAACAACATAGGATGGACATCAAACTGAAATTGAAAAAATATATAATTTATAAAGAATATTATCTTATAGCAATAAAATAAAAGATTTAAAATCAAATTTCTAGTCCTGAAAATTCTATATTTATAAAAAAAAAATTTATGTTTCTTCCAAAATATCAGTTAAGATGAAGTAAATATTTGTTTACTATTAATATGTCCTAGTGTTTCGATCTATATGGTAGTCCTTCAAAGCACATCTAGAATAACATTACAGGCAACATATTATACAATAAATCATAATTAAGTAACTTTTATTATTTTAAACTAAAATAAACAAACTAATATTGATAAATAAAAAACAATATTTTAAAAACAAAAGTAATGTATCAATACATACTTATAATTTTTTTATTTAAAACTAGGGGGTACCCCCTGTCCATCTAACCAATCTCCATTTTACAGATTATACAACTGTTCATTTAATCGTACGACTCGTTGTTCAAATTGTATAACTGTAATTCACATGTATTCTGTAGTTCAGATTGTATTCCTTTTTATCAATATAAAATAAACTGAACAAAACCACAAATTTTTAAATTTCTTTAAAAATCTGTATTATACCTCACACCTTATTTCCAATTTGTAACCATAATATATATTTAACTTGTCCAGTTTCATATAAACCCAACATCAATTTGAGCCTTTTATTTCTAATATTTTCATTGTATGTTATATTGTGCTTCCTTTTGTATTTCATAATAATTATAATTATATCACAATATAATATAAATAAGATTATATATAATAAAATAATTGGAATGTGGACTATGATCAAACGTAATGAACATATTTTCCTTGTGTTCGAGCGGAAAATCCTCCAGAAGATATTTGGAGTATTGGTGGATGGAACCTGGAGGAGGCTCACAAACCAGGAAGTTTATGGTCTATCTAAAGAGCCAAATGTTGTTCAGATGGTTAAGCTGGGCCAGTTGCAGTGGGCGAGACATGTAGTGCTCATGAGCGAAGAAGAGTTGCCCAGGAAGCTTCTGATGGAACAAGAAGATGAAGAAGACCGAAGCATAGATGGGTAGATGAAGTTACAGTTGGCGCTCAGAACATCCAAGGAAAACCTTGACCTTAATGTCTGCAATTTGACTTTAAGATCAGCATAGACAAGTTAAAAATGATTAATAAAGCTATTATTAACCAATGTTGGCTCAGAAGTCGTCCACTTCATGACCCCAGAGATCCTATCCACGGGCTGGAATGGAGCTGGAAATTTTCTATGAGAGCAGGTCTTGATCTTTCACATACGAACCTGGGCACAACAGGCTCAAAGCACACCCATTCAGTAACTTCGAAATTTGCTCTTGTCCCCTCTGCGATTCTTGTGAGGATGAACTGAATGTGGAACATATACTACAAACGTGCAGAGTCTACTCCCAGTAAAGGAGAGTGATCTAGTCCTCTACAACTGAAGTGGAAAAGAAACTATATGGAAGCATGGAGGAACAGAAGAGGACAAACGAATCCTCCATTATATTTCCTGACCTAGCCATACAGGGATGAACACAGAAGAAGAATACTTACTAAAACTTTAATAAAAGTCATTTAAAAAAAAAAATGGAAGTCTTAAAACTCAAATGGTTTCAAAAGTGAATGGATCGAAACCGGATAATTTTTTTTTTAGATTTTGATGTGGACATCGAGTCCGATTATATTTCCATTAGAACTACTTATATAATTCTTGCCAAAAACCTCTTAGTTTAGACTTTGAAAATTAAAATATTGCTGATGTAGAGATGGTTGACCGTTGATATAATATGAGAAGGAGTTAGTCGAGGGTGCGATCAAATAAATAAAAAATTAAAATATATTAATTATTTTAATTTTTGCCGACGTTTCGACCCTCTTTGCAGGTCGTCTTCAGGGATACAAAACCTGTTGAAAATAAAAAATAAATATAAGTATATATAAAATAAGAAGAAGTTGTCAAATACAGAAATAAAAGATGGTATCAGAGATATAGTGGGTGACAATGTAGTTAAATATTAAGAATTATATATTATGATTCATTTATTCATTTATTCGTTAACATTCATGTATTTATTTCCTTTATCTGTTAACCCACAGTTATCTAATGTAATCTCTATCGTAATATTGTCTTATGTAATATCTATCGCAATCTGTTTATTTTTAACTTACATGCTATATCCTCCCTTATTTTTATTTTTATTCCTACTTATTTTCCATTTATTTGTATCTTCTACATATATAATTCTTAATATTTAACTACATTGTCACCCACTATATCTCTGATACCATCTTTTATTTCTGTATCTGACAACTTCTTCTTATTTTATATATACTTATATTTATTTTTTATTTTCAACATGTTTTGTATCTTTTGTAGCTCTGAAGACGACCTGCAAAGTGGGTCGAAACGTCAGCAAAAATTAAAATAATTAATATATTTTAATTTTTTATTTATTTGACCGCACCCTCGAGTAACTCCTTCTTATAAAATATTGCTATTTATGATCGCCTTCAACTAACTAAAGGTTCATCGAATGGGCAGATGGAAGATAATGATTCTAATATCCTAAGGACACCTCGTCTAATATAGAAAAAAAAATATATATATATATTTTTAATAAATAAATAAAATATCCAGATATGACTTCTATATTCTCATAGTTCTCTATGCTCTTAATAAATGAGATAACTACCAACCATAAGTCTTTTACACTAAACAAATAGTTCTTGAGCGAGTACAATAATGGATTAGAATAAGTTCAAGGACAGCTGTGCTTCATTGCTTAACTGGAGTAGGACTAGCTAATTATTGATTAAGTAAATTGCTACTTTAACAATATTAATCTTATTATGTTAAGTATGAAGCTTCATCTATTGTCTTCGTTGCATAGATTATCTTAATAATGTAATATAGTATATATGAATAAAAATGTTTGACTGATATCACTTACTACACACTGAATGCATTACTGAAAAGGATACCTATCTCACGTGAGATTTCTCATTCAGGTATATTAGTTTACAATTATTTTGGAACTAGATAGCCAAGTAGTGATTATGTGAGATTTGAAGATGATTAGGGTAATAAGGTAACGGATGAAAGAAAGAATGGAATCCCAGTGGAGGAGGGGATCTGAGCGATGATTTGAACAAGAATATTGTGTATTTAGTATTTGGACAGGGGTCTTGTACTTTATCTAGAATAAGAAGTCAATTCTTAGCACCCTGTCTTGCAAGCAAACAGATACGAGTATAACAAAAAGATAAAAAAATAACCAATTATTTCATAATTTTATATTTAACTTTAACTAATAAAAATTAATTTTTACCTGAAAGGCTAGAATTCCATATGCTATCGCTACTGATTCCCAAGATGGTTCTGGGATTCTAACCCTTACATCATTTACTGAATAAATTGATAGCCATGTTAAAAATGATGTAAAGAATACAACACTCACTGACGTAATCCCAACGATTCTGAAGAAAATAAACAACAATACATATATATATATTTTGTCCATCCACACACACATAAAGGGTGTCCCTTAGGTAAAGGAAATTATTTAAAGAAGTGATACTATAAAAAAGTTCATGTTAAATGTTCATGTTTTATGCAAAAGTTTTGTTTTTCATAAAATTATGGATTATTTGCAATTGGTTTTATCACCCTCCAATTGAACTATCTATTCCTCACTTTTACAAAAACCTTTTAATATGCTGTATTAATTAAGTTGAAGTTTGAAATTGAGACACCTCTAATTTTATAAAAATTCTTTGATTTGATATTTTGTCACCCAAAAGTGACTATGTTTTCAGCATAGATGACCACAATAAAGTATTGCATAATTTAAATTTTTTCCCTATGACCTGAGAGGAGAGCGAAACACTTAATTTCCATAAAAGAATGCTGCCTAATTATATTGGATTGCTACGTACACTTCATACTTAAAAATCACATTAGAATATTATATAAATAAAACAGCATTCACTCTCCCAACAATTTTTCTTTTTTTTATGACGTGTCAGGATCACTTTCTTACCCCATCTTCAGACATTATCTCATTCTTCTATCATCTTATTTTTTTTAAAATATTTGTCATATTTTTTTAATTTTTATATTTTCATAATTCATCCCTTGATTATATTGTGGACTACTTTAAGGAGAGCCTAGTCAGACACTTTACTAGTACTCAGATACTAGGCTCTCCCTAAAGTAGTCCATAATATAATCAAGGGATGAATTCTGAAAATATTAAAAAAAAATAAATATGACAAATCTTTTTATAAAAATTAGATGATAGAAGGATGAGATAATGTCTGAAGATGGGATAAGAAAGTGATCCCAAAACGTCATTAAAAAAAAAAAATTGTTGGGAGAGTAAATGCTGTTATTAAATTTTATTTATATACCTCAGATAAAATGCATCTCCCTTAGGAATTATGAAGACATTAGAAAATCTTTAAACTTATATATAAATATACAGTAACATTTCAATATATATTAGTTCAGTAAACTGTTTTTTTTATTTTAATGTTCAATTTCTTATTGTTCTCCTTTTTTTTTATTTATACATTTTTCTTGTATTTTTTCCTTTTTTTTAAATATATTTTTTTAACCTATTCCTACTCTGCAATGATAAAAACATACCTAACTAATAACTGAGATGCTAAAATCTTTAAAATAATAAAAATTTTAAAAAAAGTGCACATAAGGTACAATGCAATCCGTTAATTTAAAAAATACACTTATTTATTTCAAAAAAATGTTAAAATACTGGTTTTTCAAATTATAATACTGCTTGTATTATAAAATACGTTTTATTGATGTTTTATATGTATTCATGTTTTATTCATATTATATATATATAAATTCAAATAAACCATAGCCTGATAAACCCATTAACTGCTTGAATTATAAAATACTTACATGAATAAAACGTATTTTATAATACAAGCATTTGATGGGTTTATCGGGCAATGGTTAAGAATTAGGAACATTAGTTATTATTATTGTTATTGTTATTTAGTATTAAACACGTTACATTTGTACAAACAGTCTTAATGTAGTAAATAAATAATAAATCTTT